CTGACACACAAAGTATAAAGTACTGTTTGAAGATTAATTTTACCATTAATTCTCATAGTGCAACACATTAAGGACAGATGCCCCACATGGGGAGCAAGTACACAGTGACTCCTGTTTTTATTTTTTTAAGATTTATTTTTTTTTATTTGAAAGTCAGAGTTACACAGAGAGAGGAGAGGCAGAGAGAGAGAGAGAGAGAGAGAGGTCTTCCATTCTGCTGGTTCACTCCCCAGATGGCCGCAAGGGCCAGAGCTGTGCCGATCCAGATCCAGGAGCCAGGAGCCAGGAGCCAGGAGCCAGGAGCCAGGAGCCAGGAGCCAGGAGCTTCTTCCGGGTCTCCCTTGCAGGTTCAGGCCATCTTCTACTGTTTTCGCAGGCCACAGCAGAGAGCTGGATTGGAAGTGGAGCAGCCAGGTCTCGAACCAGTAGCCATATGGGATGCTGGCGCTTCAGGCCAGGGCGTTAACCCACTGCACCACAGCACTGGCTCCTCTGGTTGTTCATTTAACAATTGACATTCTTATTTATGACGTCAGTAATTACCTGAGGCTCTTGTCGTGAGCTGGCTAAGGCTATGGAAGCCTCTTGGGTTCACAAACTCCGACCTTATTTAGACAAGGCCATAGCCAAAGTGGAAGTTCTCTCCTCCTTTCAGAGAAAGTTACCTCCTTCTTTGATGGCTCCTTCTTTCCTCCGAGATCTCACTCAGAAGAGGCCTTTCATTTAGGTCATTTTTTTTGCCACAGTGTCTTGGCTTTCCATGCCTGAAATGCTCTCATGGGCTTTATAGCCAGATCCAAATGCCTTAAGGGCTGATTCTGAGTCCAAAGTGCTGTTTAGGGCATTTGTAATTCTGAGTCTGCTGTGTATCCTGCTTCCCATGTAGGATTGCTCTCTCCTTTTTAATTCTATCAATGATTATTAGCAGACACTGGTCTTATTTATGTGATCCCTTTGACACTTAATCCTATCTTTATGATCAATTACGAACTTAAACTGATCGTTTTAACTAGTAAGATGACATTGGTGCCTGCCAACTTAATGGGATTTGGAGTCTCATGGCAAGTTTTTAGCTTTACCCTTAGGGGTAAGTCCGAGGGAGCCTGTGCTGAACTGTACATTTCCTCCCTTTCTTATTCCCACTCTTATTTTTAACAGGGATCAATTTTCAGTTGTGTTTCAACACCTAAGAATGATTCTGTGTTAATTAAAGAGTTCAACCAATAGTATTAAGTAGAAAAAGAAAATACTAAAAAGAATAAAATAGTAAGCTGTTTCTTAACAGTCTGGACAAGGGCTTATCAAGTCATTGTTTCTCATAGTGTTAGTTTCACTTCTACAGGTTTCCTTTTAGGTGCTCAGTTAGTTGTCACAGATCAGGGAGAACATATGATATTTGTCCCTTTAGGACGGGGTCATTTCATTAAGCATGATGTTTTCCAGATTCTTCCATTTTGTTGCAAATGACTGGATTTCATTTTTTTAAATTACTGTGTAGTATTGCATATTGTACATAACCCATAATTTCTTTATCCAGTCCAAAATTGGATTGTATTATCCAAATTCAGTCATTTATTTTTACCAACATTGTATTATATTATATTACTTTGATTAAAGCTTATTTATTCATTTTATTCATTTGGTAGGCAGACACACACACACACACACACAGTGTCCATTAGCAGAAAGTTGTGATCAGCAGCAGAGCTGAATCTCAAATCCAGGCACTCCAATATGGGATATGGGCAGTACCAGTAATTTCTTCATTGCTGTATCAGATGCCTGTCCCTTATGTTGAAATTTGATGTCATGGTGGAAGTGTTGGGATGCATGGATTTTTTTTCTTTTTTTTTAACTTTTATTTAGTGAATATAAATTTCCAAAGTACAGAATATTGATTACAATGGCTTCCCCCCCATAACGTCCCTCCAACCCACAACCCTCCCCTTATCCACTCCCTCTCCCCTTCCATTCATATCAAGATTCATTTTCGATTCTCTTTATATGCAGAAGATCAGTTTAGCATACAATAAGTAAAGATTTCAACAGTTTGCTCCCACACAGAAACATAAAGTGAAAAATACTGTTTGAGTACTAGTTATAGCATTAGATCTCAATGTACAGCACACTAAGGACAGAGATCCTACATGAGGAGTAAGTGCACAGTGACTCCTGTTGTTGACTTAACAAATTGACTCTTGTTTATGGCATCAGTAATCACCCTAGGCTCTTGTTATGAGTTGCCAAGGCTATGGAAGCCCCCTGAGTTCACTGACTCTGATCATTTTTAGACAAGGCCATGGTCAAAGTGGAAGTTCTCTCCTCCCTTCAGAGAAAGGTACCTCCTTCTTTGATGACCCATTCTTTCCACTGGGATCTCACTCGTGGAGATCTTTCATTTAGGTTTTTTTTTCCCCCAGAGTGTCTTGGCTTTCCATGCCTGAAATACTCTCATGGGCATTTCAGCCGGATCCGCATGCCTAAGGGCTGGGATGTATGGATTTTAAGAGGTGATTAGGTTATTATGAGAGGTTTCCTAACTGACCCAGCTCCTTGCTAACATGCCTGGGAAAGCAGCAGAAGATGGCCCAAGTGCTTGGGTCCCTGCACCCATTTGGGAGACCTGGATGAAGCTCCTGGCTCCTGGCTTCAGTCTGGCCCAGTCCCAGTCATTCTGGCCATTTGAGAAGTGAATCAGCAGATTGAAAGTGTCTCTCTCTCTTTCTCTCTTTCCTTCTCTCTCTATCCTTCCATTCCCTTTTTCTCTCTCTGTAATTCTGCCTTTAAAATAATTAAAATAAAGCTTTAAAAAAATTCCCTACTCTGTGGTATTTTGTTCTAGCTTTAAAAAACAGTCTAAAATACCTCTTTTAACTCACTTATTCTTAGCACATGCATACTTTCCTATATAACCAGCCATTATCCTGTGGATTCTCACAAATGGGCAAAAAATGATTATGTGCCTACTGTCACAGCTATAAGGCATTAAGAAAAGCCCTTTCTCCAAATAATTGTTTATTCACTGATTTCTTCAAATATCCTGATTACTACCTATGGCACATCACATAGGAACCAGTGATACTGAATGGCTGCTGATCCTGTGTGGGTCACCAAAGGTCCATGTGGGTTCTTGGCTTTGGTGAGACTGTAATCTGTAGTGATTTCAAAGTGGAAACAAGAGAATTTCATTGGAGGAATTAGCAAAGGGCTACTTACTCCATAGACAGAGCAGCACCCTAAACTGTTTTAGTTCTTCCTATATGAGGTTTGACAAACTTATGTTAGCATATGGGTAGCATATTTATCTTATTTCTAGGAAAGGAGTAGCAATTTCCAGTAAGCAGAGATCTACCCATTTTCCGTATTTACATGGTTCCTTCTGCAAGTTGATACGGGAGTTAAAAACTTTTATGGTATAAGGAGGAATGATATTATCCATGCTAATGGATTACATTGAAGATATAATGAAGCTAGAAGTCATATAGCAGTTAATCTTTATGGAATGTTCAGTCAATAAATACCAGTTTCGATTTTCTGTTATTGACTTTGCACAACTGTGGTTTTGCTGCTTGGTTCCATCAGGTGGGGATTTGGGCTTGCCACATACCATCTCACTTGGACAGATAAAAAGAATTACAAAACATGGCCCTTGTCTTTGAGTTACTTATAATGAGGAGGAAAAGATAATAATAAATAAAATATCACAAGACAATGTGACAATTAAGTAGTGAAATAATCACAAGAAGTAAAAGTTTAAGTGAACAGAGAGAAGAGTGTATGTTCTCTTTTTCTGAGACATAGTTTGACAATGCCATTAGGGTTTTTGGAAAGAGAAAGGCTGGTATTAACTCCTGTAGAGAATGAACAGATGGCAGGATAAGATAGTGATGAGTGGGCCTCTGAAGGCCACTTTTTAAAAATTTTTTATTTTTTGCTAAGTACAGGGAATCAGAGGCAGTTTTTGGTTCATTTTGAAGATGTCTATGAAATAAACATCCAATTTTCCTTTCATCAGAATATCACAACTAAGGGGAACTGTATTCTCAAAATTAATTTGCCAAAAGCCAACTTGCCAGTTGATCCATTCCTCAAATTTATTAAATTCACTACTCCTTTAACTCAAACTGTATTTAAGAAAAACCTCTCTTGAATCTATACAACATTGTGAAATATTCCATTGTGCTTATTCAGTAATGATACAGAATACGCTTTCAAAGAAAAATAAAAAAGTCACATTTGAAGTGTGTCACTCTGTCCAGAGGAATGAAAATAATGATGTATTATGGGCTTCAGTTTGAGTCCTGATCCACTTCTGATCCAGTTCCCTGCTGATGCACATGGGAAAGCAACAGAATGTGGCCCAACAGCTTGGGTCCCTGCCATTCACATGGGAGACTCAGATGGAGTTCCAGGGTCCTGGCTTCAGTCTGGCCCAGTCTCTGCTGTTGCAGCCGTTTGGGGATTGAACTAGCAGGTAGAAGATATCTCTGTCTCTATTTCTGTAACTCTGCCTTCTGAATGAATAAATAAATCTTGAAAAGCACATAAAAACAATGATGTATAATTTGCTGAAAACTTTCCCCCCAGTAGCTGAAAAACTGAACGACATGTGGTTCTACAAATTTAACTTGGAATTTCTGTATTTCACCTGGCAATCATGCTTGTGTGTATTTTTTGGCACAAAGTACACATTTCTATACTCTATATATCTAGGAGCAGAATTGCTGGTTTGAAGGCTATGCATATTTTTAGCTATATTAAAACTTCCAAAGTATTTTCCAAAAAGCTATCACACATTTTTTACACATTTTTTCCCACATGGCACATGGGTGGCAGGACCCCAAATGAGCTATATTGGAATTGGAGCATCTGGGACTTGAAGCTGCACTCATGTGAAATTCTGGCATTGTAGATGGCAGCATAGCCCACTGTGGCACAACACGCCCCTGCCCCATGCTTGTACCTTATCTGTGATTTCCTTCTTCTGTTTTCTACTTTAGGATCACACCAGCTGTCCCAACTGGCTGACCCATGAGAATTACCTTCAGTAAGGAATGAATAAGGAAATTCACATGTCTGTCTGAGTTGGTTTTCTCAAGTATATGTGGGAATATTAATAGCTATTTCAGATTTGACATGAGAAACAGAGGATGTAGGGCAGTGGTACAGTGTCTTACCAATAGGACTTCTCTTTTCCTACTCTTCCCTGGCAGTGGCATCACTGATATTTTCTAGTAACCCAGTGTTTTAACATCAGTTGGAGATAAATTTGAGCCCAGAATCCTTAACTGAGAAGTGTAGGATTCAGGCAAGGTGGGGAGGGGGCATGGCCAGGACCAAGAGCAGAGAGTGTGAAACAGCGTACTCATCAGAGCTTGTTCTATAGATGTTCTGGGAATGCTTGTCTTGCGACATTATACTCCCATTTTAGTCAGAATGAAAATGGATGTTCTTGAGCAGGAAGGGTCTTCCAGCTAGTCATGGGACTAGCAGTAAGCCCGGAGATGTTTCCCCTTAATCAGACTCCAGATGGGGAAAGAGGGTGGATAAATGTGCGCGTGCATTCACCCCCTGTGACTTGTGTAGCTGGGAGCACATCTTAAAGTCCTAAGAACCACCTCAGGAATTTGATGCAGGGTCACAATTTAACAAATGAACAGCCTTTCGATATGTGGATGATGTTCTTACCACTAGCACCCCCCTCCCCAAGAAAGCTTCTAATCTAAGAACTTGAATTACCTGGGACAGGGTCAAAAGTTTCTAAAGAAACTATGAAATATCTAGGCTTTATAATATTTCCAAGGACAACAAGGCCTGTCCCAAGATGGCAAGTTGTTAATTTGTAACTGAGTTCCACCCAAGACCACAAAACAGTTATGGGGAGTGGCTGGTGTCTGCTGGGTTTTGATACCCAGTTTTCTGTATGACACGTGAAAAGAAAAGGACACTGTGAAAAGAAAAGGACACTGTGAAAAGAAAAGGAAACTGATCCTTTTGAATGGGATAAACAATGTAATCAGGCCTTTAAAACCCAAAGGAGTTCTGCTGAATGCCCCTGTTTTAAGAGTAACTTGATCAAGAAAATCCCTTTGACTTGCATTTCTTTGAGGAAGTTTATGCACTCTTGTGTTAGTGACTATGTCTTATCTATTGCCATGCTAGCTGCCCACAGATGATGGAGTTCAGGTCTGACTCACTTGAGATTCTTCAGTGTCAACATACTGCCTATACATGATAAGGCCTCAGTAATGCTGTATATGTTATCGAAAGAGCTAACGTCCTGGCCTGAAGTGCCGGCATCCCATATGGGAGCTGGTTCTAGTCCCGGCTGCTCCTCTTTTGATCCAGTTCTCTGCTATGGCCTGGGAAAGCAGTAGAAGATGGCCCAAATTCCTTGGGCCCTTGCACCCATGTGAGAGACTCGGAAGAAGCTCCTGGCTCCTGGCTCCAGATCAGCACAGCTCCAACTGTTGCGGCCAATTGGGGAGTGAACCACTGGACAGAAGAGCTCTCTCTTTCTCTGCCTCTCCTCTCTCTGTATAACTCTGACTTTCAAATAAATAAATAAATCTTTAAAAAAAATCCTCTATACAGCCACATCGTGTTATTTACGGCAACTCCCCATTTTCAGTTTCATTTCCCAGTCTCATCTCAATTCCCAGAAATGTTTCTTTTCTTTTTTTAAAAAAAATTTATTTATTTATTTGAGAGGTAGAGTTACAGAGAGTGAGAGGGTAGAGACAGAGTGAAAGGTCTTCCATCCACTGGGTCACTTCCCAAGTGGCCACAAGAGCCAGAACCCAGCTGATCTGAAGCCAGGAGCCAAGAGTTTCCTCAAGGTTTCCCACACGGGTGCATGGGCCCAAGCACTTGAACCATCCTCTATTGCTTTCCCTGGTCATTAGCAGAGAACTGGATAGAACTGGAGAGAAGTAGCTGATGATGACATAACTACTTGCCGCTAGGCCCCACCTCTTAAATGTTCAACAGCCTCTTAACATTGCCACCCTGGACAGTAGGCATCCAGGAAGAGCTTGCTTTCAGTATGGCTAGGCTGATCCTTTCTTCTGAGTTTGGGTAGGACAGCTGGCTAAGGTCTTTTATTCACCAAGACCACTGACTGAACTGTGTAATCCGATTAAACTATTATATGGGCACTGCAAATGCCTCTCGTATGACTGGGTTACAGGTTATATTCTCTGGTCATAAGGTACTGTGATTTCAATGCAACAGTTGGATAGAGCTACAATTTAGGAGGTGGCTCTGAGATTAAGTAGGTTGGGATGGATGGATTAACTGCTATTCTTAGTACATACACACAGTTTCTCTCCCTGGTAGGGGTGTGGGGTGGATTTTGAGGCCAAAAGGAGCACTTTTTAAACTTCTGTGTGTGTAATATTGCTGCCTGCTTTTCTGTCAAAATTTGCCATATTAAATAGCATTCCTGTATGTCCAGGACTCATTATCTTCTTTATTTTGACATATTTTTCTCCTTAACAATTGTCAATAACATAGTGTTATTTACCTTGTTTATTGTTCCTCTTCAATTGAAAGGAAGTGATACAAAAATAGAGATTTCTTTTTACTTTTTTAATAGAAAAATTTATTTAATAAATATAAATTTCAAAAGTACAACCTTTGGATTATAGTGGTTCTTCCCCCCATAACCACCCGCCCATCTGCAAACCATCCCATCGCCTACTCCCTCTCCTATCCTATTCTTCATTAAGATTCATTTTTAATTATCTTTATATACAGAATATCAACTCCATATTGAGTTGCACCCACACTGACACACAAAGTATAAAGTACTGTTTGAAGATTAATTTTACCATTAATTCTCATAGTGCAACACATTAAGGACAGATGCCCCACATGGGGAGCAAATGGGGAGCAAGTACACAGTGACTCCTGTTTTTATTTTTTTAAGATTTATTTTTTTTTATTTGAAAGTCAGAGTTACACAGAGAGAGGAGAGGCAGAGAGAGAGAGAGAGAGAGAGAGGTCTTCCATTCTGCTGGTTCACTCCCCAGATGGCCGCAAGGGCCAGAGCTGTGCCGATCCAGATCCAGGAGCCAGGAGCCAGGAGCCAGGAGCCAGGAGCCAGGAGCCAGGAGCCAGGAGCTTCTTCCGGGTCTCCCTTGCAGGTTCAGGCCATCTTCTACTGTTTTCGCAGGCCACAGCAGAGAGCTGGATTGGAAGTGGAGCAGCCAGGTCTCGAACCAGTAGCCATATGGGATGCTGGCGCTTCAGGCCAGGGCGTTAACCCACTGCACCACAGCACTGGCTCCTCTGGTTGTTCATTTAACAATTGACATTCTTATTTATGACGTCAGTAATTACCTGAGGCTCTTGTCGTGAGCTGGCTAAGGCTATGGAAGCCTCTTGGGTTCACAAACTCCGACCTTATTTAGACAAGGCCATAGCCAAAGTGGAAGTTCTCTCCTCCTTTCAGAGAAAGTTACCTCCTTCTTTGATGGCTCCTTCTTTCCTCCGAGATCTCACTCAGAAGAGGCCTTTCATTTAGGTCATTTTTTTTGCCACAGTGTCTTGGCTTTCCATGCCTGAAATGCTCTCATGGGCTTTATAGCCAGATCCAAATGCCTTAAGGGCTGATTCTGAGTCCAAAGTGCTGTTTAGGGCATTTGTAATTCTGAGTCTGCTGTGTATCCTGCTTCCCATGTAGGATTGCTCTCTCCTTTTTAATTCTATCAATGATTATTAGCAGACACTGGTCTTATTTATGTGATCCCTTTGACACTTAATCCTATCTTTATGATCAATTACGAACTTAAACTGATCGTTTTAACTAGTAAGATGACATTGGTGCCTGCCAACTTAATGGGATTTGGAGTCTCATGGCAAGTTTTTAGCTTTACCCTTAGGGGTAAGTCCGAGGGAGCCTGTGCTGAACTGTACATTTCCTCCCTTTCTTATTCCCACTCTTATTTTTAACAGGGATCAATTTTCAGTTGTGTTTCAACACCTAAGAATGATTCTGTGTTAATTAAAGAGTTCAACCAATAGTATTAAGTAGAAAAAGAAAATACTAAAAAGAATAAAATAGTAAGCTGTTTCTTAACAGTCTGGACAAGGGCTTATCAAGTCATTGTTTCTCATAGTGTTAGTTTCACTTCTACAGGTTTCCTTTTAGGTGCTCAGTTAGTTGTCACAGATCAGGGAGAACATATGATATTTGTCCCTTTAGGACGGGGTCATTTCATTAAGCATGATGTTTTCCAGATTCTTCCATTTTGTTGCAAATGACTGGATTTCATTTTTTTAAATTACTGTGTAGTATTGCATATTGTACATAACCCATAATTTCTTTATCCAGTCCAAAATTGGATTGTATTATCCAAATTCAGTCATTTATTTTTACCAACATTGTATTATATTATATTACTTTGATTAAAGCTTATTTATTCATTTTATTCATTTGGTAGGCAGACACACACACACACACACACAGTGTCCATTAGCAGAAAGTTGTGATCAGCAGCAGAGCTGAATCTCAAATCCAGGCACTCCAATATGGGATATGGGCAGTACCAGTAATTTCTTCATTGCTGTATCAGATGCCTGTCCCTTATGTTGAAATTTGATGTCATGGTGGAAGTGTTGGGATGCATGGATTTTTTTTCTTTTTTTTTAACTTTTATTTAGTGAATATAAATTTCCAAAGTACAGAATATTGATTACAATGGCTTCCCCCCCATAACGTCCCTCCAACCCACAACCCTCCCCTTATCCACTCCCTCTCCCCTTCCATTCATATCAAGATTCATTTTCGATTCTCTTTATATGCAGAAGATCAGTTTAGCATACAATAAGTAAAGATTTCAACAGTTTGCTCCCACACAGAAACATAAAGTGAAAAATACTGTTTGAGTACTAGTTATAGCATTAGATCTCAATGTACAGCACACTAAGGACAGAGATCCTACATGAGGAGTAAGTGCACAGTGACTCCTGTTGTTGACTTAACAAATTGACTCTTGTTTATGGCATCAGTAATCACCCTAGGCTCTTGTTATGAGTTGCCAAGGCTATGGAAGCCCCCTGAGTTCACTGACTCTGATCATTTTTAGACAAGGCCATGGTCAAAGTGGAAGTTCTCTCCTCCCTTCAGAGAAAGGTACCTCCTTCTTTGATGACCCATTCTTTCCACTGGGATCTCACTCGTGGAGATCTTTCATTTAGGTTTTTTTTTCCCCCAGAGTGTCTTGGCTTTCCATGCCTGAAATACTCTCATGGGCATTTCAGCCGGATCCGCATGCCTAAGGGCTGGGATGTATGGATTTTAAGAGGTGATTAGGTTATTATGAGAGGTTTCCTAACTGACCCAGCTCCTTGCTAACATGCCTGGGAAAGCAGCAGAAGATGGCCCAAGTGCTTGGGTCCCTGCACCCATTTGGGAGACCTGGATGAAGCTCCTGGCTCCTGGCTTCAGTCTGGCCCAGTCCCAGTCATTCTGGCCATTTGAGAAGTGAATCAGCAGATTGAAAGTGTCTCTCTCTCTCTCTTTCTCTCTTTCCTTCTCTCTCTATCCTTCCATTCCCTTTTTCTCTCTCTGTAATTCTGCCTTTAAAATAATTAAAATAAAGCTTTAAAAAAATTCCCTACTCTGTGGTATTTTGTTCTAGCTTTAAAAAACAGTCTAAAATACCTCTTTTAACTCACTTATTCTTAGCACATGCATACTTTCCTATATAACCAGCCATTATCCTGTGGATTCTCACAAATGGGCAAAAAATGATTATGTGCCTACTGTCACAGCTATAAGGCATTAAGAAAAGCCCTTTCTCCAAATAATTGTTTATTCACTGATTTCTTCAAATATCCTGATTACTACCTATGGCACATCACATAGGAACCAGTGATACTGAATGGCTGCTGATCCTGTGTGGGTCACCAAAGGTCCATGTGGGTTCTTGGCTTTGGTGAGACTGTAATCTGTAGTGATTTCAAAGTGGAAACAAGAGAATTTCATTGGAGGAATTAGCAAAGGGCTACTTACTCCATAGACAGAGCAGCACCCTAAACTGTTTTAGTTCTTCCTATATGAGGTTTGACAAACTTATGTTAGCATATGGGTAGCATATTTATCTTATTTCTAGGAAAGGAGTAGCAATTTCCAGTAAGCAGAGATCTACCCATTTTCCGTATTTACATGGTTCCTTCTGCAAGTTGATACGGGAGTTAAAAACTTTTATGGTATAAGGAGGAATGATATTATCCATGCTAATGGATTACATTGAAGATATAATGAAGCTAGAAGTCATATAGCAGTTAATCTTTATGGAATGTTCAGTCAATAAATACCAGTTTCGATTTTCTGTTATTGACTTTGCACAACTGTGGTTTTGCTGCTTGGTTCCATCAGGTGGGGATTTGGGCTTGCCACATACCATCTCACTTGGACAGATAAAAAGAATTACAAAACATGGCCCTTGTCTTTGAGTTACTTATAATGAGGAGGAAAAGATAATAATAAATAAAATATCACAAGACAATGTGACAATTAAGTAGTGAAATAATCACAAGAAGTAAAAGTTTAAGTGAACAGAGAGAAGAGTGTATGTTCTCTTTTTCTGAGACATAGTTTGACAATGCCATTAGGGTTTTTGGAAAGAGAAAGGCTGGTATTAACTCCTGTAGAGAATGAACAGATGGCAGGATAAGATAGTGATGAGTGGGCCTCTGAAGGCCACTTTTTAAAAATTTTTTATTTTTTGCTAAGTACAGGGAATCAGAGGCAGTTTTTGGTTCATTTTGAAGATGTCTATGAAATAAACATCCAATTTTCCTTTCATCAGAATATCACAACTAAGGGGAACTGTATTCTCAAAATTAATTTGCCAAAAGCCAACTTGCCAGTTGATCCATTCCTCAAATTTATTAAATTCACTACTCCTTTAACTCAAACTGTATTTAAGAAAAACCTCTCTTGAATCTATACAACATTGTGAAATATTCCATTGTGCTTATTCAGTAATGATACAGAATACGCTTTCAAAGAAAAATAAAAAAGTCACATTTGAAGTGTGTCACTCTGTCCAGAGGAATGAAAATAATGATGTATTATGGGCTTCAGTTTGAGTCCTGATCCACTTCTGATCCAGTTCCCTGCTGATGCACATGGGAAAGCAACAGAATGTGGCCCAACAGCTTGGGTCCCTGCCATTCACATGGGAGACTCAGATGGAGTTCCAGGGTCCTGGCTTCAGTCTGGCCCAGTCTCTGCTGTTGCAGCCGTTTGGGGATTGAACTAGCAGGTAGAAGATATCTCTGTCTCTATTTCTGTAACTCTGCCTTCTGAATGAATAAATAAATCTTGAAAAGCACATAAAAACAATGATGTATAATTTGCTGAAAACTTTCCCCCCAGTAGCTGAAAAACTGAACGACATGTGGTTCTACAAATTTAACTTGGAATTTCTGTATTTCACCTGGCAATCATGCTTGTGTGTATTTTTTGGCACAAAGTACACATTTCTATACTCTATATATCTAGGAGCAGAATTGCTGGTTTGAAGGCTATGCATATTTTTAGCTATATTAAAACTTCCAAAGTATTTTCCAAAAAGCTATCACACATTTTTTACACATTTTTTCCCACATGGCACATGGGTGGCAGGACCCCAAATGAGCTATATTGGAATTGGAGCATCTGGGACTTGAAGCTGCACTCATGTGAAATTCTGGCATTGTAGATGGCAGCATAGCCCACTGTGGCA